TCTCGCTTCCGGTCGAAGAATTCTCGGTCAACCTTTCTCGCGGCCTTCAGCTGTCTTGATTCCTTCCAAGTTCGCTTCGCGACCTTGCGCTTCTGATCCGCCACCGCAACGTACACCTCGAAAGCCTCATCTTCATACAAGTCTCGCTCATCCAGCGATGTCAAGAACGCCTCTGCCTCGTCCTCCGTCGTCGCCTGCGTCGCCCTCCTCGGCCACCGTGGCGAAAGTCCTGCTGCTGCCTGCACTGGTCGTGAACTTGTCTACCGTCGGCAGCACTGCCCTGTCTGATATGTCCAGCTGCAGTAGGGCCTTCCTCACCGCTTCACACGATACCTGACCTCCCATCATCGTCCTGAGATTGACTAGATTCTGACCGGTGAGCCTGGCCCCCTCCTCGTAGTACCGCGCCTTGACCGAGTCCGAAGGCTTCAGCCCGTAGGTCTCTGCCTGCTCGATCTGGGAGTCGCGCCTGACCACGTACGATGTGTACGACTCACCTTTGCTGATTGTGAAATCGAAGAGGGCGGCGTTCTGGACCTCGCGCTCCTTGTCGCCTGGCCTGTCACCGCTCAAGAGCTCGAGGTGGCCTATGAGTGATTCCAGTCCGTCATCTTCGTCGAGCTTGCTGCGTATCCCTTTGAACTTCGTCTGCGTTGCAACGTCAAACGTTTCAAGGACACGAGACGCCTGAAACTGTGGTTCCACTCCGGTCCTCCTGGACCACGACCTGAGATTCGACGCGTACATTTCCAGGTGTTCCATGCCAGGAAAGCTCGGAGGAGCTGAAAAGTCCCTCGATCTCTCTGACCACGTGTGTGACTTCCCCCACTTCTCGTCGTTGTCGTCTCCCGACGGGTTAAACTTCCAGCCTCGCCACCATTCTCTCCAGCTGCTTCCCCACCAGCTGTCTGGCCACTCCCACGAGCCATCTTCATCGTCATCATGTCCTGTCTGCATCCCGATCTCCCTGGACCTCGCAGCTCCCGCACTCGCCTGTCCCCCGCTGCCCGTCTCATCCACGCTCCGGCTACCATTGTTTGTTGAGTCGGCGGGCATGGGAGAAAAGGAGAAACTGGGAAGGGACGATGCGTTTTGCAACACGACCTCGAGAGTCTCGAGTGCTTCTTCATGCCTCCGCGTGGAGGCCTCTAAAGCCCAAAGGGCTGCGGAAACTCTCTAGACGAATCCAAAGGGGCAGGAGGAGAGGAGGAAAAGGAACACAGTTACTCCCAGCCACTCGAGCCCCTGCACCTGCGTCCGCAGCGCCGCCAGCGGCCGCCGCCATCCCGGGACCTCCCTTCAGGGCAAGGAAGAGTGTGCGTAACGGTAAGGGCACGAGAAAAGGAAGGGTGGCTGCCACCCGCGATTCGAAGGCAGCAGTAGCCCCCCCCGCCCACAAGCTCCCCAGACCCTTGGGAGGACTACTACTACTACTACTACTACTACTACTACTACTACTACTACTACTACTACTACTACTACTACTACTACTACTACTACTACTACTACTACTACTACTACTACTACTACTACTACTACTACTACTACTACTACTACTACTACTACTACTACTACTACTACTACTACTACTACTACTACTACTACTACTACTACTACTACTACTACTACTACTACTACTACTACTACTACTACTACTACTACTACTACTACTACTACTACTACTACTACTACTACGACTACTACTACTACTACTACTACTACTACTACTACTACTACTACTACTACTAATACTACTAACTACTAACTACTAACTACGACTACTACTAACTACTAACTACTAACTAACTACTACTACTAACAACAACAACAACAACAACAACAACTACTACTACTACTACTACTACTACTACTACTACTACTACTACTACTACTACTACTACTACTACTACTACTACTACTACTACTACTACTACTACTACTACTACTACTACTACTACTACTACTACTGCTGCTGCTGCTGCTGCTGCTGCTGCTGCCTGCTACTACTACTACTACTACTACTACTACTACTACTACTACTACTACTACTACTACTACTACTACTACTACTACTACTACTACTACTACTACTACTACTACTACTAACTACTAACTACGAACTACTAACTACGAACTACTAACTACTAACTACTAACTACTAACTACTACTACTAACAACAACAACAACAACTACTACTACTACTACTACTACTACTACTACACCTACTTCTCCTCCTCTGCCTCTTCCGCTCCTACACCTCCTGATGCTGCTCGGTTTTCCGACGATGATCGACGATCGAGGGTCGAGCGCTTGGTTTTCGTAGCATTTTGGGTTTCCCTGGACCTCCGCAGGCCTAGGGTGGCCTCCGAGGGCACGGTGCCTTTGCGAACATCTAAGAGTTTCCAAGGACCTCGGGAGACGTCTGGGCCTCAGGATCTGGGGCGGCGATGAAGCTTACCTCCTCCTGCTCTTCCCTCCTGACCTTGACCTCCTCCTTGACCTCCTGCTCTGCCCTCTCAGGGCGGCTGAGCTACGCGCGCCCCAGGATGAGATCGCAAGGAATAAGACTTGCTGCTGACGCTCCCCGTGACGAAGAGCTCTGCTCTTGACAGCTGTTTGTCCACTATTTCACTGATTAGGGGCGAGGAGCAGAGGGAGGAGATGTATGCCTGCACGTTTGGTTTCGTAGGTAGTCGATACATCTCTGAGAGTATCCCCCCCCGCGGCTGGAAGCCGCTCAGAAAACATGCCAGAATGGCGCCTGGGGGGGGAGTCCGAGGACCGACTCTGAGCGGGGCGCCAAATCTTTGAATTTTCCACTGCGCCGCCCCAGAGGCCCCGCCTCCCTCGACGCGGCCAATTTCCCCCCGAAATCAGTTTGTCTTGCACCTGGGCCCGATCACGGGCCGTGGAGGCCCAAATCGACGAAAATCGCCAGGATCGAAAAACTCATGTCGGAGATCTGGGAGGAGGGGGGACCGGCACCGCCCTGCCAAGCGTTCCCAGGCCCGAGGAGGCAGTGCAACGTGGGGGCAGGGACGACTGGGTCACGCCCTGGCACCGCACCAGCAAGACTCCCTCCGCACCGCCGGGACGGGCCCCCACGGCTTAAGCCAGCGACGTGCACGGCAGTCGCGCTCTTCACGTGCAGCGACATTGCGCCGGCGCGGTGAGGCGTCCACGATCTCTCCCTGGAGCCCAGGCGCAGGTGGCGACATGGTCAGTGTGATGGCGACCATCGCAGCGATCCAAACGCTGGCAGTGGTGGCGATGGCGAATGATGTTGCGATGTGTGCCACAAGCGTCGATGGTACACGACGGCCGCCTCGTCGTCACATTCATCAAGCAGGGTTGGCTTCCCGAACGGCCATGGAAGGGCACCATGAGACTCCCAATGAATACGCTCGTGTCTCCGCATAAGTTCTGGACGCAGCCATCATCCTCCAGACGATGTTGGGCGTCTCAATGTCGTTGACAGCGCTGCCCCCCAATGAACCCTCGGAGATCTGCGGATTTTGGATGACTCCCTGGGGCGCAGCAGCAGAAACTCGGGCACGCAAACAGGACGCCGGCACTCTCCAGAGGACTGCAGCCGTGGGTCGAAGCACTCTCCTCCCTCCGCTTGTCCCCCTGGATCTTGCACAGTCCTGACTTGCATGCAGCCCTGGCTGGGGCCCCAATCGATGATCCTCATAGCGCGTGTCGGCGCCATCGCGTGATTGTCCACCAGCACCCTTGAGCGCGACGCAGGCGACGCAACGATGGCCGACACGAGCTGTGTGCGGGTGAAGGGGGCAAACCCTGGGATCCGACGTTGCAGAAACATGGCGACGTCGCGAGAAATCTCGACCGAAGCCCTAGACCCAACCTTTCTGCGGCCTGGTGCGGGGATCCCCCCGCGCCTGAGAAGCGGAACTGGCCAACCCGAGGGCTCCCGAATCGGCAGGTGATCCTGGGACGTAGAAGGCATACTAATTCCATGTGGCCCCCCTTGGAGGCGCACGTCCGATACAAACATCTAGCACAAACATGTTATTGCATATCGTTGCCCAGGCGGTCTGGCCAGGAAGCGCCCGCCACGGAACATATACCATTGAGGTTTCTGAGCGCCCGCGTCGCTTCTGGGGGGCCGACGCACACATAGTACAAGTCTGTTTGGGCGATGCCGAGGTTGGAGGCCTGCTGGATCGGGTCCGAGTAGATGATGTCGGAGGATCGCGCCGCATCACAGATGCATCGGTGATGCATCGGCGAATCATCGCCGACGTCGCCGATGCATCGGTGCCGTCGGCATTTAGAACATCGGGCTCCACATGCACCCGCATCGGCGATGCATCGGCGATGTGGCGCGATCCTCCGACCCAATCTACTCGGATCCGATCTGGCATGTCTAAAGAGATCCTGGCGGCAAAGAACTGGAATGAAACTTCCGCTTCGGGCTGAAGGGCTCGGACCCACTCGGCAGACCCGAGCCCTTCAACCCCAGGCGCCCAGTGGCTCGAACGAGATCGAGGCGTCCATTTCTTTCGAAGCTCTTCGGTTCTTTCTAGAGGAACAGAGAACGGCATGAACACAAAATTTCGAAGGTCCGCGCTGATTTTTTGGATCGGCGCTTAATCCCCTTCCCTGGCGCGGGAGCGCGCCAGGGGCGGCGCCGGAGGCGCCGCCAAGGGGGCCCAGCGCCGACCCAAGAAATCCGCGCGGACCTCTGTAAATTAATGTTAAATTTTGTTTGTTTCATTTTTGACCCTTGGAGGCCAGTCGTAGGACAAAGAAACGTCAAAACGACTCGGCAACGACAGCAGGTCCAGGGAAGGGGTCGAGAGGTCTGGGTGCCCAGACATCAAACAAGTCGAGCCGACGGCTATCAGGGAAGCCTGCTTTGAATAGAAGATCGAGGCTCTGAGACGTGTTGGCCCCTTGGGCACCCGGAAGCCTCCGGAGACCTCCACCTCTAGAGCGCCTCTAAAAAGCAACACAAGGAAGAGGAAGCGGATGCCCGGTGGAGTGCGGCCCCTCCGCCCAGACCTGGTGGATCGAGCCCTGCTATCGTGAAAAGGGTCGGTTTCTCCTCGAACTGGCCATGATCTTCTGCGCCGAACTCCACTTGCGCCGAGCGCAAACTTCACGTGAAATTGATGGGCCCGGGCTGCTTGGACAGAATAACGGAATCATAGACATCACGACTGTCGCTGCGAACATACTCGGCAATGAGGCGCACGTCGTCGGCCACAATGCGGCAATAGCCGAAATGCTGGTCATCCGCGAATTGGAATACGGGTGGCGTGGCTGGGCTGATTGAATTCAGACCAGCGCCAGCCATTCCGACGTTTAAGACTGTGTGGCCAGATTCCGCGCAGCAGCCACCGCGCATAGGGCATGAACGCTGGTAAGAGTGATGATGGCCTCCAAGCACGAGGTCCACTCGATACGTTTCCAGGAGATTACCAATAGAGGTCTGCAGATATTTTGAAAAATTCTGATCACCTATCCAATCCGAATCTACCGCGTAAGGCCGATGTCCAGCTACTATTAACCATGGTGTGGTAAGGCGGTGCACTGCACCCAAGCTCGTTTCGAGCCATGAGTATTGTTCGCTGCCCGGCATGATATCGTGCTCAGTCGAAATTGCAACGAGACTTAACACCCCTACAGTGATCGTGTACCACGGCTTGTCGTTGGGTGGCCGACTACGGGAGACGAACGGATGTGCAGCAAAGCGTCTCATCGTCGGTACACCGCACTCGCCCATGCTGTCTAAGGAACCGAAACTTGTGCTATTGGTGTCTGGCCAGTCTCGCTCATGATTGCCAATCGTTACCATCCAGGGGACCTGTGTGGATAGCGGCTCAATGTTGTCATGGAAAACCTCCCACATCGAACCGTAACCCATGGCGTAAGACAGATCACCATTATGCAGAACGAGGTCTGCAGGATCTGACTGATGATCCGCAAGCATTGCCGCGGTGGTATTATGCACCCCAGGGTCGCCGTATGCATACTGTGGCAGGGAATACCACGGCTCGCCCTGCCCTTGAGCACTGTCGTCTCTTGGATGCTCGCCAAGATCCCCAAACGCGAAGATTTTCGTCCGGGCGCCAGGGGCCGGCGGCGCACGAAACAGGAAATCTCTGCTCCATCCCCCCTCGAGGTCTGACCCAACACGGTAACTCACGGTGGAGCCTGGCTCGAGGTCCTTAACCTTGGCAGTATAGAACGCACCAGGATCGCGAAAGCCTTCGGCACTGGCCGGTGCACCGCACAGCTCGCTGCGCGTGTAGCTTGCCATACCAGATGCCCGAGCCACACCGCTCCTGACAATGTGACCGTCAGAGTCGAGCACCGCGTACTTGACCGCGGCGCCCTCCTCCTGAGCACGCGTGCTCGTCCAAGTGATGGCAACCTCGCCCGCTGCATCCGTGAGGCTGAGCCGCACACCAGTTGGGTGACCAGGCGCTCGGACTGCAATTCGCGAGGACTCGGCGATGAAGACGGGCCTCTCCCAGCCACGGAAGAGACGGAATATAAGGTCGCTGCGATAGTTAAGAATCCTGAACGACAGGCTGCCGGTCGTATTTGTGTTGTTTGCGGATCGGCTCGCGTTGCAAAAATTGTACTTGAGGGGTACAACTTGCGTGATACCCTCGTCGGCCAGGTACAATCCCACCCAAGCATCCGACATGGAAACTGACAGGTTGACCCACGAAACATTAACATACTCTGGGTGCAAACCTTCAACCGTATACCGTGACACGGTCAAAGAGACGCTGGGATCTGGGCGGGCAGTAATGGCCCAGTGTCGAACTCGAGATACCGCAGGTGGAGGATCACGATGGTGCCATTGATTCTGCCAAGGCTCGTCGAAGCTTTGTCCAATCTGTCCAGTAGCATGGCGTCTCAATATGAAGCTAGCGATTGTGAAGATTCGAGTGAGCTCCATGGTTCAGCCGCTCGCAACGCACAAGCGTGTCGCCAGGCTGGAGGCAGGGGTGAAAGCATCGACAGAGAACCAGAACAGCTGCACCTGTCAAGTCTTGACCTCGACTCTCGAAGGTCGAATGGGGGAGGTTGTCGGTAATTCTTGGCCTTTGTCGGACCCTTGGAGGCCTCCGAAGGCCTCTGGGGACCTCTGGGGGTCAGATTCCGGGGGCGGGAGCAAAACTTACCAGCTACACCCCCACCCACTCAGCCCTGATGCTGAGGCGCTTGCGATCAGAAACTTTTGCATAACGTGTCGCGGCGGCGGCCCCGGCGACACGCTATGCCCCGCGAGCGGATAGCGTTCCGCTCCGCGGGGTGGGAGGCTGGGAAAGACTCGGAACGTTGACGCCTGGGGACCGGGACGTGGTTAGCGTGTCGCGCCGAGGCGTGGTGGGCCTGGATCGGCGGCGCGACGCGCTAAGCCGAAGTTTCTGACCGTAGCCTGACGCCGCCCGCTGGAAATGGCCTCGGAGCGCTTAGCCCTGCGCCTGGAGAGTGAGAGATGCGCTGGGAGCTGAGGGGGCGCGGTCGTGTGGCGAGCCAGACGGCAGGAGCGGCCACTCGAGCACGCCTGGCACGACGCGCGCTTCAGTCGAGTCCCCAGCCTTTCGCCGTGGTGTTTTTTTGGGCTGTTTTTCTGACTTTGTTCGTTTTGGCCCTGGGGGCCGAAGACGGCCCCCCAGCAGCTGAAGATCGTTCCCCCCACACAAGCAACAAACCCCGCTAAGCCTCCCACAGCTCACACAGCAGCTGGCAGTGCGAAACAACTCGCCTTGCCACTAAAATCTTGAGGCCCAGCCAGAACGAACAGGAGGGAGGACGAGGACAAGGAGGAGGACGAGGAAAACGAGGCAGGAAGAAGGACGAGAAGGAAGGAGGAGGTTGCCAAACACGGCTGCCCAGGAGTCGAAAATGATGAAACACCTCCGTCTTGATTTTGCCGAAGACGTCGGAAGTCTGTTATCGAGGCGATCGGTTCCAGGGCCACCCATTCCTTCCACGCCCTGGCGTTCGCTGCGAGGTGCCAAGGAACGAAGGAAGCGTCTGCGTTCACAAGCCTCTCCCTGCGCCCAGACCCCGACCATGGATGGGCAGGTGTGTACTCTGGACTTCGGCCTCTCCGATCAAGTAGAAACTTGGCTGTGCCTCCCCTCGTCTGGTTCACTGCGTTTTGTTGTCCCAAACACCGGGCTCGGACGTGCGCGTCAAGCTCGTCCTGGGCGGGGCGGGCGCCCTGCCGAGAGAGCGGCCCGCACGGTGGCTCGAGGCGGCCCGACGCACGGAGCCTCAGCGGGCCCGGGCCTGGCAAGGCCTGGTAAGAAGCAGGGAAGCGCGTGACGTACGCCCCCTCTCAGCGATGAAACGTTTTTTTTATTTTTTTTCTTTTCTTCCGACCCGCGTCCAGTGGGTTTCTTCAACAGTTTCCGAAGTCCTTGTTATAAGCCAGATCTTCAGGGAAGCTACAGAATTCATGGCGCCTGTGCTGTGACAGCAGTGTGCTGCACTGGCATGCAATAGTTTTTGTTTAAACTTCATTGGTGTACCCCTGTACTGTACTGTGCTCCATGGAAGCGCCTGTCGATGCCAGACGCCTCGAGCAACAAGAAAACTTAGTCCGAGTCCCCGCTCAGCGGGCGATCAGGACAGACAGCCTGCATCAGGCAAAACCTGGTGAGCAATTGAGGGATCCTCCATCGCTCACCCCATGTTAGTTCCACAGAAACACAATCGGGGACCTCTTCCTCGTGGACCTAGATGCCCTTCCTCGCAGCTCTGACAAAGCCAAGGATGTCTGACGGAGCAGGCACACGAGGCTCCGTTAGAGTCCACGCGCGGAACTGTTTGGCCCAGCTCGGGAAGAGACCTTTTGAAAACCTGGGCCGTTGTTGCTTAAGGTCTTTGGTGGGCGGCGCGTTCGGGCAGACTCGACACAGGCTGTCTAGTCCAGCCCACGTGTAGCCCCCACATTTCAAGCACGACATCACCCAGCCACTCCCGCCCACCCGAGCTCCACCCCAGTCCCAAGCCTTTTATCATGACAAGGTTGTGGCCGTGCAGCAGCATTAAGACGCGCGCCTCTGTGTAGGCCCTCTCAGAGGCGACCACGGGCGCAGAGTCCAAGAACAGAGGGGCCCAGAAGCTCAGCAGAGTGTGGCGGCAGCCTAGGCGACCATATTCCTGGGCCAGCCTGCAGCGGGCAGATCGTGGGACACGCCTGGAGGGCTTCAACTTCACGCGCGAGATCTCTGGGTCCTCATGTCCTTCAGAGCCCTTCTTCTCAGGGAGCCCCGTTGAGTCAGCCCAACCTCGCTGACCCATGGGGACATCCTGGATGTCTCCCCATCTGCAAATGTCCACTTGCAACTTAACAAGATCATCGGATCTGGCCTTGGCGCTGTCGACTGGCGGTTGCAGGGCCGCTCCAAGCTTCGCGAAACGATCCGCGTGCTTATTTCCCTCCCTTTCAAAGTGGGTAAAGCGGCCTTCGGCGATGTCATTCATTACAGGTGGCGTGGCCGAGGGTTTTGTGAGCAGTCAAACCATCCTCCAACATATGCCAGACCCTGGTCACAGGTGGGTTCGAAGGTTGCCAGAACTCACCGAGAGCCAGCAGTCCCACACGCACCCGGGAGTCCCCTCAAAGTTAGCCCAGACCTGGACATCGCTTTCAGCGAGGCTCGCAAGCATGTCATATGCGCAATCCTCGCCATCACGAGCCTGCTGATTGGGGGCGAAGTCTACTGGAACAGCTCCATAGGCTGCGGCCAGGAGCTCCCCTACGGGTCCTACCGTACACAACGACCAACCCGCACGGCGAAAACGGGCAGAGATGGGGTCGAGAGCTGAACCATCACTAAAGATACACCCGCTGAGCTTGCCGCTCGGGGGACAGTTAAACCAGTGGATGTTACATTGGCTAGCTTTGAGCGGCGGAGGCGTCAGCTCTCTGGGATCAGGAAGGACGACAGCAGCAATTTTCTCAATATTCTGGTGCCAGCCTCGAGCGTTCTGCGCGGTTTCTAGTACCTGCCTCGGGGGAAAGTACGCCTGTCCGAATCGAAAGCTGGACACTCGAATCTTCTGTGGAACAGCGTGCCAGGAGCTCCCTGACAGAGCTGTCATACTTCGAAATCACTGACATGGCGTTCGCAAAGTCGTATTTGGGCCCAGGTCCCAAGGGCGAAAGCGCTTCGAACAGAAATCTGATGGTGTTGGTGCCAAACCTCGTTCGTAGCACCCTCCATCATGGCCCTGGCCCCCTCCCACGACGCGGGTCTGCACCGTGCGCGGTTGAGGTTTGGTCGCTGTCGAAGAGCTTACGCGTCTGCCCTGAGACCTGCATCCTTCGCAGCATAGTCTCGAAGTGCCAAAGGCGCCGCGGCCAGGAGGTCCACTGCTTTGTCGTCCGCCTTGCGGAAACGCCTAGCAGACTCAGGCACCCAGTCACTCACGGCTAGGGTCAATAACGAAACGTGCGCCGGTGAGGTAGAAGAGGCCAGTTGCGTTTTTGGTTTTACTCATCCAGCGGCGGCGACCATCCCAAACAGCCCTTGCCCATTGGTGCACCGCGTTGGCGTGGTAGAAGGTGTATGGGGTCCATCCTGACCCCAACGCAATGTGATCTCAAACGACATGAAGTCAGCGAGCGCCCCAGCCTTACTCCTGGTCAAACTCCTATAACCCCCAACGCGGAGGGCGCGAACCTGAAGCCGAGTGGGTCCAGCCACGGCAGTGCCCCAAAGAGCGCCAGCCTGGAGCCCAGCCCTGTGTATCACAGCTATGTTGGCCCCAGCTAGCTTCAACCTCCCAAGTTTGCGACCGCGTCGGGCAGCTTACTTGAGCCTCCTGAGCACCGTCGGGTTCCTCCTGGCCTTCCTGGCCACGATGTCGCACCCCAGGGGCTCCGCCGTGATCTCACACGAGAACTTGAAGGCCTGTCGCTCCTTGGAGAGGCCCTCGGAGACCTCCTTGCTGGACGCAATAGAATGGGTATTCGCCCCACATTAAGCTCCAACTCATCGAACCCTTTCTTGAGCGCCCATCCTGCGGCGCCCGAGTTCTCCGCGATGTATTTGGCCGTGCCTATCATCTGAAGCGAGACGTCATCCACAACGTTGCGGATGCGCAAGGAGGAAAACGCCATGGCCAATCCGCGCAGTACTCTGTGCAACACTACCTTCGCAAAGCTCGTTGCTAGATTGCAACCAGCGAGGATCGCGCCCGTGACAGTGAAGGTACCCGAGCATGCGCCTGCAAACGTGAGCACGCGCGGCCGGCCCAGTATAAAGACAGATGACAGAGTATATAGGGCCGAAATGGAAACCACTTCTCTCGGCTTCGTCGAACAATATGCCTGGTGCCACTAGCTCATAGAACTTCTCAAGATCTGCACAGAGGGTGGAAACATCAAAAGCTTTCTGGCGGGTGCATTCGTTGGGTATCGAATGCTGCCAACCCGCGCGGTCGCACACCTTGTCCCTGAAGTCCCAAAAGAACGGCAAACGATGGTCCATTTCCCAGGCGCGCGCAACCCCTTGTCTCACCCTACCCCGCAACCGAAGCGCGGATAGGATCATAACAAGTGGGCGCAATCCAGCACCCTCGGGCTTACCCCGGAAGACCATCACCGCGGGGTACTTCAGGGGCAACTTGCTGGGGTCCCTCTCCCAGGCCATCATGACGTCGATGAGTCGATCAACATAAACTCCATGTACGCGCATCCAGGAACGCAAATTCCAGACAGTTTGTGGCGAAGGTATCGGGGGCACCGTCGAGGCGCGAGCTTTGGCGATCTGGGCCTCCGCGAGGCCCGAGCGGCGGTGCTGCCAATGACTGTTCCACTCCTCGAGGAGCGCCTCGACTCCAGAGCCCCCCTGGACCCTCCTTGGTCAACGGACCTGTGGCGATATTTTTATCCCTGGAGATGGCGCGGGCAGTTCTGCCTCCCTTAACGGTCGATTCCTTGGCCCGCCCCTTCCACCTAGACCAGCGAGCGCGCGAGGCCAAGGTCGCCAAGTGCTCGTGTGTCGAACGGGCGGCGGGGGGGAGGTGGCCGATCTCTGACCGTCGGTGGCA